CACCACTGAAACAGTCAATGCTCTGGTAGAGACAGAGATACAAATGTGAAGGTTGTTCCCTGATGCCTCCCTAACACCTCAGTAGGGATGCACTTGAAGCCTAAGCAAAGAGTCAAAGCAAAGAGTAAAAAAATCCACCAGGGTCCCTGTCTGCTGTGGCTCAGTGAATTGAGTGCCATCCTGTGAACCAAAAGGTCACTGGTTTGATTCTCAGTCAGAGCACATGCCTGGGATGGGGGGCCAGGTCCCTAGGTGGGGGCATGTGAGAGGAAACCAACTGATGTTTCTCTTCCTCTCTTTCTTCCTCCCTTCTCCTATCTGAAAATAAATAAATAAAATCTTCTAAATAAATAAATAAATCAGGGCAGGGATACCTCTGGCCAGGGGCAGATCCCTGATTAGATTGGGAGCTAAGGAGAAAGACCACCACTAGTGACCCTTCTCCTCTCCCAAGGAGGTGTGGGATTCTCATCCCACAGGTGAGAATCTATGATTAATTTCAACTATTTTCCCCAACTCTGCATCTCTATTTCTCTCTTGTTATCACACGATTTCAGGAAAATTTTGTAGAACTTTCTTAGCATGCTCTGGGAATATGGGGAGTCCACTTATCTGCATTTAATGAAGATTGAAAAAAGAAAAGGGAAAATCTTCACAGATTCAAGGCACATTATGAATCACAAGCAGGGTAAACACTAAGAAAACCAGACCTAAACACATTGTAATAAAACTGCTGAAAAACAAAAACAAAGACAGACTCTTCACAGCAGGTAGAGAAAAGATGCATTACTTTCAAAGGAGCAGTAACAGCTGACAGCCGACTATGCATCAGAAACCATGAAGTCCAAAGGGGAAAGAATGTTATCTTCGAAGTACTAAAAGAAAACACTGTCTAATTGAATTCAATCACTCCCAAAAATTCTTCAAGAATAAAAGAGAAACAAAGACATTTTCAAACTGATAAAACCAGGAGAATTCATCATTAGCAGACCTGCACTAAAGGAAATAATGAAAGGGTGTTTTCGGGTAGAAGGTAATCATTCCAGATGGAAGCTTTAAGATATACATCAACAGAAATGGATAAATATATTCATACAATGGAATGATATATATATCTCCCAGAGTGGAGAACAGAAATGAGCCACACAACACACACCCTACACACCCTTCTACACTTCTGGGGAGATTAGGAATTGGGCGCCACCTGGTGGCCAATAGCTGCAGCACAAGCCCCATTCCAATCACGTCTTAGTCGCTCCCCACCCCCAACCTCCAAGACTGGCACGAGGAACTGATCCAGTTTTCTCTGAGGCCCCACCCACTTGCTCACCATCCCTTTGCCTCATCACAGTCCTGTAGATACTGAGAGGAGGCTCTGTCCCAAATCTCCTTCCTCTATTTGAAAGTAAGCCCTTGGAAGGCGGTCATGTAGGAAAGGTACACACTCCAGCTTCACGATTATTTAACTTCTAACCTCAAGCTGCTTGGCTACAGAATGAGTTGGCAGTACCTATTCCACAGAATCATTGAGGTTTTACGGAAAATACAGTCATCGATATGGGAAGGCAGGGCAGCTACAAGAGGACTTGGAGCCAAGCCTCCTGTTCTCTGACCTGGTGAGGGCTCCCCACAGGCTCAGTGCTCAGACACAGCATTCCCTCCTGCCCGCCTCCATCCTGCCTGGCTTCTCCCAGCTGCCCACACAGTTGCCCTCTCCATCTTCCCTAAGGGCCTCCCTCCTACCACAGGCTCCACCCAACACCTGGTTGCTGGTGAGAGTGGCGCAGAGCTGCTGCCCAGGATTGTCGTGGGGCTGCATAAGCCCCAGCTTCTGGGGCAACTCTCAGTCCTATCTCTGTCCACAACCCCACCCAACTGGTCACCAAGTTCTGCCAATCCGGTGTGTCTCGAATTCCTCCCTCTCCCGCCCAGCTCAGGGCACGGTAAGAGCCCTACAATGATCCTGTCCAAACTTGACCCTTGCAGTCCTTTCTCTCCTGTCCAGCAATATCTTTCTCAAATGCATGTCTGAGCTGCTCAGCTACTGACCACCTTTCTCTGGCTCACAAAATGAAGCCAAACTCCACAGCCTGCCATTCAAGGCCCACCCTGGTCAGGCCTTATATCTCCCCCTCCATCTCTTCAACCTCATGTGTCAGTCACTCCCCTCCTCTGAGTCTTTGTGTGAGCAGTTGCTGCTACTAGGAGTGCCTGTCCTCTTTTGCCCACAGGAAACAGCCCCTGCTCATTTTCCAAACCTCGCTGTGGCTCTTCTCAGGGTTGTGATCCTGCCTGGAGCCCCACGGTCAGGTGTCCCATAGGGGTGTCACGGCCTGCACCTGAGTTTGGGCCGATCTCTCACACCAGGCTGCTAGACCCTCCAGGTCAGTGACAAGGGCAGTGTTGGCTCTAGTCACCAGCTCAGGGCCCTGAATGTAGGAGGGTAGGAGGAAATGTTTGTCAGTTGTTCACTTAATTTGGTGGCAAAAAGGGATGTGTCACTGAATGGACCTGGAATGAGGTTAAATGGCCTCACAGGAAGGCTGGGCTGAGGACAGACATCAGAGGCATCTGAGGGAGGCATCTCCCTCACTTGGAGGGAGATCCAGGCCCCAGAATGAGTACCCAGGTCATTCTTCCCCTTTGCCCAAAGGCTTGTGGAAGAGAGACATGCAGACACATTCAGCGCTGGGGTCACAGACAGAGGAGTACCTCCATCAGGCCGCACTGAAGCTGGTGTCCACTGGTACCATCAGAATAGCTGCCCCTTTTCAGCCTTGGGCCAGGAACTGACCACCACCCTGATCTGGGGTCCACTAGTCAGACTGCTTCTGAGCCATGAGAGGACAGACTGGGGGAGCCCAAAGCAGGGGAGGGGCCAAGAGCCCAAGCCCCTTGGGGAAGACAAGAGGTCCTAAGGCCATTCAGCCCAGAGGAGCAATTCCAAACCATTTCAAGTTATGGGGCAGGGTAAGTAGACAGCCTCTTTGGTCCCAAAGGCAAGGCTGGTGCCCAGTGACATTTTGGGTGGTTGCAGGTTGTCACTGTCCATCTCCCAACTCTTCCCTTCCTCCCTCCCCCAGGAAAAGAGATCCCAGTGGCCAGCCCTGAACATGTCAGCTTTACTGATCTGGGGGAGATGAACAAGGAGAAGACATGGGAGGGGCATTGGCAAGTGAGGGAATGGGGTCTGGAGATTTTTTTCTGTCAGAGCCTCCTCAAGGACCCCAATCCAGATTCTGCCCTTCTGTTTGTGCAGACACAAACACTCTCACAGCCTGAACAGTGGGGGGATGGCTTTATGGAACAGCCCAGGGTTGCATCTGGTATAGAGTCAGACTCAGGGGTATCTCTTTTGCAGGATTTATGGGGATACAGGCAGACATTCTTGTGGCTAGAATGGGGTTCACAGGCCCAAACCCTAGCTTAATGGGCACTCATGATCAGAGTAGGCCAGCAGAGGGTCTGGGAAAAGTAGAATACCACCTCCTCCAGGCAGCCTCCCTGATTGCTTCAGCCCCTCAGTTCTCCCACTCAAGTCCACAATCTCTGCTAGCTAACATGTCCTCTCACTGCCCCTTGCCCAGGCCTCCCTATCTTTCAGCCACCCCTCAGACCCTCCTATCAGGCCCAGGAATTGCCCAGGGGTACCCCAGTAGGTCTATAACTCTCTCATAAGAGGGGCTCAGCACCAGGGGTTGGGGGTCCTGTAGCCAGGCTGTTATAATGGGCATGTGCCTCCTCCAGTTTTTTTTCCCCTCTATTGGGAGCTGTCCTGCCTGGTTTCAGGGACTGTAGCCTTTTGTCCCATGGCTAGAGCTGAGTGACATGAGCCACTAAGGAGACAGAACATCTCCTCCTGGCAGAAGCACAGCCCCTGCCTCACTCACTTCCCCCTTCTTACCCCAGGCAGATGACTGGTTAGCCAATGACAGGTAAGAACCCGCCCCCCCACCCTCGTGGAACAACCTAAGACAGGCATAGTCACAATGGGCCATCAGAGAAGGACTTAAGGGTCTTCAGAGAAGGGGCATAAAGAACCCTCACCCCTTGGCTTTGTCATATCCTGAGTCCTCAGTCTTTCTGTAGAAGTCTCTTGGCTGCTTTGCTCTCCCCACCTGACTCAGCCTGGGAAAAGTGCCAGAGGCAGCTGAGGCCTTGTACTGGAACACACTGCTCCCAGGGGGTGGATTTGGCCAGAGCAAGAATATACACTGTTTCCTTTAAGGTTTGCTCTGCCCTGTTGCTGTGAAACAGACACTTGAGCTAAAGCCAGCCTTAATCTGACACAATCCTTGTGTTTCTTCCACTATTATCTGTGAATTATGTCAGTTTCTCATGACTGCACCTTTTTGGACTTTGGTTGATGAGCTTTACATGCATACTATGTATTTCTGTGTGAGCTGAACTCAATAAAAGCACAGGGAAGAAAACTAGTAAGTTCCGACCAAGATGAAGGTATGGATAGAAACCCTCCACTTCCTCACACAACCAAAAGGAGGATAACAAACAATCTAAAATCCATAAACAACCAGAAGTGCCAGAGAATCAAATGGCATGGAACTCCAACAACCAAGAAATTAAAACAAAAAAAAAGTCAACCAGAACAACCAGACCAGTAGGCAAGGCAGCAGATCGAGCGGGCAGAGCTGGCTGAAGGAGAAACTGACACTCAGAGCTGACTGTGCACTACAGTGGTTGCCACAGTGGGAGAAACTCCTAGTCTCACATGAGAGTTCATTGAAATGTGGGCTGGAGCCAAGCAGGTGAGCTGCATTATTTCTTCTCTCCCCACTTCCTCATAGGCAGTGCCGCAGTTTCCTGGTCACCTGCTAACTGAAACAAACTTTCAGCCAACACATTAATGGTTAACTGGTTATACATTCTACTAGTAATTATTTAAGGGTATACAGAAGGAGGAAGGAAAAAAGAAAAAAACTTATTTTCTATTCTACCTTTTACACCCCTGTCAATATTTCCCTTCACTTAGATTCACAGGGCAGCTGGTGACTGTTTGGTAAGGAGAAAGGCTGCGTTTACCACTGACTTCAGGTTGAGGAGTACTATAAGGTGAGCTTTTGGCCACGGGAAGTTAAGAGTTTCTGAAAATTTACCTAGTTGAATTTTAATTGCACCATTTATGAGTTATATCAGTCCAGAGAACTTGGGGCTATGTAAAAGACAACAAATCAATGTTTCTCTAATATCGATGTCTCTTTCCACCTCTTTCTCCCTTCCTCCCTCTCTCTCTAAAAAAAAATAAATACAATCTTAAAAAACATGGATTTCAGAGAGTGACAATAATTCCTGTAAAACATAATTATAAATCTTAAAAAGCTTTGATTGTAATTGCATGTATTCATGAGTGTTATTTAAATGATCAGTATTGCATAAGGCATGTGCACTGGCCAGTCAGGACGGCCAGCCACTGTGAACAGCTGGTAGTGCCAGAGCAGTGCAAGGACACTGAGGACAAGCCTCACAGTTGCTTGTTAAATGTATGTCCCTCATATTGAATTGGATACCAGTGTCTCTCTGGGATCTTTGTTAATTCATAGACAAAGGATAGACCTTCCCTCTTCCTCATCCATTCATAAAATAATAATTCATACTTGTGACTCTGATGCATTTCTGATTCAAACTATGAATTTGAACAAGCTTCTATCTAACTTGAAACAAAAAATTTTTTAAAAGTCTTTCATTTCTAGAGCATTTTTCAATTCACAGCAAAATTAAAAAGAAAATACAGAGATTACCATACACTCCCTGTCTCCACACCTGCACAGCTGTTCCTGTTACCAACATTCCCCACTAGAGCAGCACATTGGTTACAACTGATGAACCTACATTGGCACGGCATTATCACCCAAAGTCCATAGTTTACATTTGGGTTTTCTCTTGGTGGTGTACATTTTATGGGTTTGGACAAATGTATAATGACATGTATGCTTCATTTAGTATCATACAGAGTTGTTTCACTGCCCTAAAAATCTTCTGTGTTCTGCCTATTCATCTCTCCTCCCACAACCCCTTCCTCTAGCAACCATTGATCTTTTTACTGTCCTCATACTTTTGCTTTATCCAGAATGTCATACAGTACAGTGCCTCTTTCTCATTGGTTTCTTTTACTTAAAATATGCATTTAAGTTTCCTCCATATCTCTTCATGAATTAATAGTGTCTGTTTTGAAGGGTTTTTGTTTGGTTGGTTTTTATGTGTTGAGTAATATTCCATTGTCTTCATTCACCTACTGAAAAACATCTTGGTTGCTTCCAAGTTTTGACAATTATAAATAAAGCTACTATAAACATCCATGTGCAGGTTTTCGTGGGGGATGGTTTATAAACTACTTTCTGTTTCTTTCAAATTTAATCTGAAACCAAAAGTTCATCTCTCCCCAAAATAAAAAGGCAAGAGAACTGACTTCTTGGGTACTTCTGTCAGAGACAGACCAGGACAGAATCCCAAAGGATCTGCAAGAAATCAGGTACCTGATAACTCAGTTCTGTTCTCTGAAGGGGAAGAACCTCTGAATGTGAGGAAATCAGGAAGGCACCTGAGGAGAGACTGGTGTTCAGATGGGACTGGGAGAGGATCTGAAGCCTGGGGTGATTGCTGTAGTGAGGGTTATGTCAAGAGTCAAAGCCACAAAGTCAGTTCTGTGTCAAAAATGTTCCAGGAGGTCAGACATGGCAAAAAGGAAAACATATTGAAGGACAGACATGCCATCTCTCCATCCCTCTTAAATCTAAAAACTCAATCTTAGATTGTGCAATTTATAACCCAGGATCCTGAGACAGTACTGTTGGTCCCTGTGTCTCACAAGATCCCTGTGCAGAAAGGCACTCTCCCTTCCTGTGGTTAGTCAAGCCTAGATCTTCAGGCCACTTCTCCACTCTAACTTCTACATTTCCTTCCAACCAAGAAGCCCAGAAAGCTCCCATGCATTGTAGCTCTCCCTAGTCATAATGAAAATTGACAATGTTAAAAGATGTTTGAAAAGGAATGACTTATGTCTGAGACCCAGGTTAACAAAACTTTGAGAACTAAAAAAATATTTGTGAAAGGAATCATAGTATTTCTCTAAGGGGGAATAAAATGTCAAGGCCTATAAAGGGTCTACAAAATGCAATCTGTTTTTCTCACTGGCCATGTGAGTGACGTGCAGCTCAACCTCCAACCAGTATTAGTTGTTTTTATCTCTTCACCAGCTCCCTACTGAAGGCCAGAGGTCAGATTCCTTCCTCCCTGCATGGAGGGCCAGACAGAAATCCTGGGTAGCTGTGCAGAAAGAAGTGTAATAGGAGACTGGACCTCTGGGTTTGCAGTAGGGACTGAGTCATCAGCACACATGTAGTGAGAGTAATGTTCACACCTCATTTTCATTGTCTTATATTTTTTTGCAGTTACTTTTGAACTTAAAGATGACCTGCCTTCTAGCCACAGCAATTTGCTTTTTGATCCTAACACAGTGGCTAACACAACAGGTGATGTACATCACCCCCTCTCACCCTCATCCTGCTGATCTTGGTTTCCCCTCACATCTTTGAAACCATACAGTGCCCACAGTCGAGTTTGACAATAAATCTAGTTAGAGAGTATGAATCTGAAAAGATATTTTTAAATATCAGGAAAAAAACAGAGTAACAAAACCTAGGTTTTTTTCTTTTTATACTACTCATAGTATATAATAAGACTATCTTCATGCATGTACCACATATGAGTCCTATGACAGGAACATGTCAAATTTCATGCTGAGCAAGAAATCCACACTGTGGGCCCTGGGAATCATCTAGTGCATATTAATGGGTCAAGGGAAACTTCCTCTTCTTTACAGGTGAGCAACCTGTCACATCCAGAAAATTCACAGGACCTAGACATGGCTGACGACGCATTTGATGATCAATATAATGGCTGTACCGAAGAAATGGATAAAAAAGCTCCCCAGCTCTTAGAAAAAGAACTGGAAGTGAATGGCAATTTAAAACATGAATGGGAAATGGCACAGAGAAAATGGAAGGAAATAAGGAATAAAGCAGACCCTTCAAAAAAACTCAATGATTTCCAGGGAACAGCTCTAGTGGCCTATACTGGGGATATTGCAATGGAATTTAATGAAGCCATAAGATCATTCCATCAAAATTCAGATAAATTTCAGTTTAAAGCTTTCCATTATTATTTGACAAGAGCTCTTCAGCTTCTCACTACAGGGGAGTGTCATACAGTTTATAGAGGTACTAGGATAAAGTTTGTTTACAAAGGGAAAGGAAATGTCCGTTTTGGCCAATTTGCCTCATCATCTTCTTCAGTAGAAGCAGCTAAAAATTTTCTCTTTGAGAAAAGGTTGGGGACACTGTTTACTATCAGAACTTGTTTGGGTGTTTATATTAAAATTTTTTCTTACTATCCATCTGAAAAGGAAGTGCTAATTCCAGGCTATGAGGTGTTTCAGCAAGTCACCATACCAAGCAAAGATAAAACATACAGTCAATATTCACTTACAAATGGTGGAAAAACCTTAAGTAAAACACATGATGAAGTTTCACTTGAAAGCCCCCAAAATTTTACAAGTAACTACAATTGCTTCTATAGCTCAGGTAAGTCTGAGACTGTGCTCCAGGTGGGAGTGGTGGGGCCATCATGAAATAGAAGAGGGGGCGCTCTACTACCAGAAGTCACAGAGCAGAGAACAATGAGGTCTTCAACTAATTGCTGAATAGTATTAGGTTCCTAAAAATACAGGGCTGATATCCTGGAATAAAGAGAAGCTCAGGAAGTTTCTACCCCAGCCATGCTCTCAAATTCCCTGCTGTGCAAAAAGGTCAGAAAGAACAGATGGGCACCAGAAAAAATAAGTTATGGAAACTACTGAGATGTCAGTGAGTATAGGAAAGGTTTAGGGGAGTTGGGAGACCTGGTTGAAGCAAAACAGTGGGGCCACTGCAGGAATCCTGCCAGGAGGTGAGGGCACCTGAACTGGGCAGGTCACCATGGTGATCAAAGAAGGTTAAGGGACTGTGTTTCTCTATGAGGTGTTTGTTCTAGGAGAAAGAGAGGGAAAGCAAAGTGCAATGGGACTGTGGTTAGAAAATCAGATGGTGGACTTTGAGGTTTCCAGTGTGGGTAGTTTACAGGATATGAAATGGTTGAAGGACATTTCCACTGGAGCCATTGGCTAGATTGCAGAGCAGGTGAATAGTGTTGGACCTGAGGAGATCAAAGAACTGAAAGGCTTTGCTCAAATGATCCCCATTAGACATATGCTCAGGGATGATGCCTAGACTGATGAAGGCTAGAGATGGTAAAAGCAGAGAACACACTCCTCAGTGAAGGCATATCAGTAATGGCTGGAGATAGTAATGGAGAAAGGCTATGACCTGTCCAGCCCTGTGGTGGGTGAGAAAGTGCCATCAGCAGCTGCCTCCACATTACTCACCTTTCCCAGATGACCTGGCTCTCATGTTTCCATGCATTTACACCTACCATTCCTTCTGGCCTGAAGACTCTATCTTCATGCCACATTCCATCCAATCTAAGACACTATCAATTTAGTAAAGTAATTATCTTTCAAAACCTAGCTTATATATCACTTCTAATCATAAGCCTTCTTTGATACTTTCAAGTAAAATTAATTATATCGTGCTTCATGCCAGAGGTTTGGGGACAGATGACTTCAATGGTAATCCAGGCTCAAGCCCCATTAGTTCGGTGAATTTGGGTAAATTACCTGAGTAATCTGTGTCTCAGTTTTCTCATTTGTAAAATAAGGATACAAAGATCAATATTTCAGTGGTAGGTCTGTGAGAATCATAATTCTTTTTTTTTCATTGCTTGGTACATAGAGATTGCTCAACATATACCACATCTATTTTTTTGCCCATGGAAAACCTTGTACACATCTCAGCCATACACTCACCATCTCTATTATAATAATTTTTTACAGTCTGGTGATCTCCTTAAGGACATAGACTTTGTCTTCCTGTTCCCTCTGCATCCCCAGACTATATTAATGCCTGTCTTGAATCAGGGCTCCAGGATTTGTTACTGAAGTAAGTTAAGTTTTGTTGAGATATCAGGGTACAGCCAGAAATGGATCTGAGCTGCAGAGAAATTGAGTATCCAGCAAGCTTCAACTAAATTAGTCTTTATGCTCTGAAAGGCTGCTGGAAACAATGGAAATGTTTGGGGTAGAAATGGAGCCACACACAGTGATTACTGAGGGACATTGAGCATTTACATGCAGAAATTTTTAGTTTGGATCAAGCTTAATAAAACAGTGTACCCAGGCAAACAATCTAGCAGAGGAAAGCTGCTGCCTACCATCTCAGGCAGGCTGAGCTGAGGACCCCAAGGGAGGAAGCCAGGTCCTACCCAAAGACAGGACTCCAGATAACACTGGCTGGCGGAGAACAGAGTATACATGTTGCTGAAAAAGATGAACATCCATAAAGTCCAGACACAGAATCATATTCCTATGTGGACAAAGACAGCACAGTGGCCAAGGAGATGCAGGCCCTGCTTGGAGAAATCTTCTGTTGCTGAAGCACTGCTAGGAGCACAGGAGCCTGAAAGTGGCAATGGGAGGACCTGAGGAGGCCATAAGTGTGAGAAAGTGGTCCATTCAAGGTGACCTTAAATTCAGAGACCCAAAAAAATGAGTCCTCACAGTCCACTCTCTCTCTGGTATTCCTGAGTACTTCAGGAATCCCTAACAGGCAAAGGAGTCTAATTGCTGGCCACATATAGGGAGTGCCTAGAGCCCACCTCTTGTTTTATGACCCCTTGATGAAGGTTTAGGATGCCCATGTCTTAAGAAACCCCAGAGAAACCTTTCTTTTTCTTCTTCCTACTGCAGGAATGAGACAACATCCAGTGTTCATTCTGCTGCTGCCCAGCCTTCTAGTCCTGCTGCTTCTCCCTGCTGAGCTGTAATTCTCCCTGCCTGGGGCCTGGTTCTGCATGGGGTGTCAGGGAAGGAGGGACACAGGGTCATTTTGTGGCTTACATTAGTGCTCATGTCCCCCAAGAAATCTAAGGCATCTAGTGGGTCTGACCACAAAAGTGAGCTTTCTGTCTTCGAATTTACTACCTGAGATAAGTCTCTAGTCTCTTGACACTTTGCTGTGATTAGTGGGGAGGTTAGAGGATGGAAGGATTGAGCAAAAAGGAAAAAAAACTCATGGACATGGACAACAGTGTGATGATTGCTGGGGGGAGTGTGGTATAAGTGGACTAAATGGTAATTGGGGAAAAATACAATAAAGATTAAATTTAAAATAAAGTAAAATACAAGCAATCCTTTAAGCACGATCAACAGTGACTGTAAAATTCAATTTAATTGTGATGAATGTTATAATCTAAAGAAATAAACCATTTATAATCACACCATGCTCTTCTGTGTCTAGATATTTCTATGGGTTGTATTATTTGCCAAAGAAATTCTCCCAAGGCCTTAGGTGCGATGCTGACATTTTCACTGTTGAGAAGGTCTATGTCTTATACTTCTCACAAATATCCCTGCAGCCCTGATTGGTTGAACCAGAAATACAAGGGCTGTGTCAGATAGAGAAATCCTTCTCCCTACGCAGCCTTAGCAGGCCCTGTCAATTCACTTTAATAATAGCTCCTTGTTGATAGGGAAGTATTCCTCTCTTTTTCTTTCTTACTTTCTTTCTTTTTTGAGGGGTTGTGTAACACTATTGTACTAATAAAAATGGCACAAAAGTGAATTCAACAGTTGATGTACATGCATGCACACTTTATATCTTTAACACAAAAGGTATTGTAACTATAGAACTGAATAAAAGTATTAGCTTCAGCTATTAAACACTAGGGTCATATAAGTTACACCAGAATGAACAAATATTACCCAAGTAAACTTCTATTAAAGCTGAATCAGGTTTAAGGCCATTCAAGTTCAAGCACAGGAATACAAATATTTTGGAGCTCCAATTATTTGTGTTTGAAATATGTGACTTTTTTTCAACTTATGGTCTTAAGCTTCTGTTTTATAAAATCCATAAGGAATATACAGAAGAAATTGATAGGGGAACTCAAGAGTTAAAAATTTTATCTTAAGTTGATAGGCTTAAGTGATTAATGCACGTGGAAAGATGTTATTCCAGGAACCAGAATGCATGGCCTACCTAACTCCAGGAGATCTGCAAGCAATTCAACCTTTTTGCCCTGGGGGGGTTGCAAGTAATGGAGATGGTATCTGAGCCATTGTGTTCTAGGGAAGGATCATCTGAGGTGAATAAAGAATTGTTTTTTTAACATATTTTATTGATTATGCTATTACAGTTGCAATTACACTTTTCTCCTGTTTATTTCTCTTTGCCCTGCACACAGGCTGTGATTAATAAAATAGCTTTATTAAAAGTACAACAAACTTTTTCTAGACTTTTGGTCAAGATAGCAGCAGAGGTAAACACTGCTTACCTCCTGGCACAACCACATCAAAATTACAAATAAATTATAGAACAACCATCACTCAGAACCAGCAGAAACTGAGTTGAATGGAAGCCGTATAACTACAGAATTAAAGAAACCACATCCACCCAGACTGGTAGGAAGGGCAGAGACATGGAATGAGCAGGTCCCACACCCCCATGTGGTGGATAAAAATTTGGGAGGAATATCTTGGGAGCAAGGAGTCCCAGCCCCATACCAGGTGCTTGAGCCCAGGGTCCCAGTGCCAAGAAGGTAAGTCCTCATAACTTCTGGCTGCAAAACCATAGGGATTTATTTGGTAGAAGAAACTTCTGGAATCCCAAGCTATTCCTCTTAATAGCATAAAAAATAAAATATAATAAAAAAGATGGTGAGCTTAAGTAGTCATCACAGAAACATAAACTAAAAGTGCAAATAGAAAACACCATACACACCTTAGAATGGTTTACATTAAAAGACTGACAATATCCAATGTCAGGGAGGATACAGAGCCACTAGAACTCTCACACAGTGTTGCTATAACCACTTTAGAAAGTTGTCTGACAATTTCTTCAAAAGTTATATATGCACCTGCCACGCAACTCAGATATATGACTCCTGGGTATCTACCCAAGAAAAATAAAGCATGAGTGTTCAAACAAAAATTTACATATAGATATTCATAGCAGCTTTTTTCATAATAGTCCAAACTGGAAATTCCCTAAATGTCCATCAATTGGTAAAGAAATAAATAAATATGGTATAAAATGGAATACAATCTACAATAATGCTCACACATGCAATATCATGGCTGAATTTAAAAATTATTATGTTGAGTGAAAGAAGCCATCAATAAAATAATACATAACTATAATGTTCTATCTTTATGAAATACAAACTAATTTATAGTAACAAAAAGCTTATCAGGGGCTGCCTGAGGATGGGGCAGAAGGAGGGATCAATGACAAAGAATACTGGGTATTTTTGGGGATGATGTAAGTGTTTTTTATCTTGATTGAGGGGGTGGTTTCAAGGTTTTTGTGGTTTCAACTAGGCAAAATTCATCAAAATGTATATCTTAAATGGATGCATTGTGCATGTTATTTCTCAATAAAGTTCACATAAAATAGTAAAAACTTAAACTTTAAGCCAGTTTAGGAGAAGTCACATGACACTGTCTTCTATGAGACCTCTCAGTGGGAGAACAAAGGGCCCATTTACATAGGGGATATGCTCAACACTTAAACATGGCATTCCTGAGACCAGTAAAACCCCATATTCTAATTTGCTTTCAGACTAGTGAGGCTGGGACTTTACCTGAAGTATTCTGAAGCCACAGAGCAGGAAAATAATTTTTTTTAACATTTAGTCCTTGTGTATCTAATAAACGCCTGAGCTACAGCTGAAGCATTGCTCTGAGGACAGAAAGAAACTGAAATAGGCCCTGTACCAGGCACATCCAAGTGCTTGGAGGGTGTTTGTGGATAATTGAGGAGAGTGAAAAGGAAATTGGAATCTCTGGAGGCCAAAGACAATGAAACCCCTTCAGGGCCAGCCTGGGACAGAGATGGTTCTCACCAACAGGGGCACCTGAGGTGGGATCTAAATAAGTACATCCAAATTACACCCATCACCTTCCTCCCAAACCTCTTCATCCTGTTGTCTCAACACACTCATCCTATTCCCATCTTCCTAGTGTCTCAGGCCCCAAAGAGAGTCATCTTTGACTCTCTTCTCTCCTTCACTCCTCACACTCAGATATCACATTCCCATAATTTTAAATCTAATTGACTCATACTTATTGGTCTTCTGCTATTTGCAGGCACTTAGCTTGACAATGGGGTTAGAGAAAGAAGTAAGAAGTTCTGAGAGGGCCCTTTTGTGACATGATAGTAAGGAGCTAGGAGAATTCCTGAGCAAGTGGAATAGGGAAACTGAGACAAGAAAATTAAACAAGGCCAAACAGTCTGAGCAACTTACAGCCAGCTGGTGAATCAGAAGACCTTATCGCTCATAACCAAGGGCATCCCAGAGCAAATGGTTTATATCTCTCCTCTGTAACCAAAGGATACATAGCTGAAGTTTTCCACATCTGGAAAATAAAGAACAGAGACCCAGTTAAGGTCCTTTGTGAAAGCCAAACCCAAGGACAGATGAAGTCAAAGGAACAAATAACAAACAACCCATTAAAAGCCATACTGACCCAAGATAAAAGTAAAACACTAGCAGACCAAAGAATATTTCCAATCCCCACTATGTGCCCATTTTGACACATCAGCATATTAAAAATGCACCTGAAAAGTTGATGAATATACTGCTGAAATGCTCCCATAAGATTCTTACCTCCAGAAAAAAGATTAAAAGCCCTCAGGAAAAAGACTCTGTGTGGGCTCACTCTAGATCTTTGCCTCTGCCCCTGCTCAGGCATGAACCTTTTCACTTCTTAATCTCTAAGTGTCCCCAGGAGACTTTCAGCCAGGGGACCAGTTACCAGCGGTAGCTTAACCCAGGCTCACCCCCTGATCCTGTCTTCAAAGCCTCCTATTCTCTGAGTGCCTGGTGAGCTAACAGCAGCCCCACCTTGGCTCTCTTCTATCTGTTCGACTTTCATTTCCCAATGAGCTAACAACAGCCCTGCCTTGGCTCATTCCTTTCCTGTAACTTTTCTAGGGAGCCAAAGCAGGGCACTACCTAGGTGCTCTCCTGTTATTTCTTCTATCCCAAGTACTTCCTTTGATTCACTGTCCCCAGCCTTAATGAAAAAACTCTCAAAATCACTTGGACTGGTGTGAAATCTTTCCTGCACTCAGTCAAGATTCTACATGCTACAGACCAGCCTGAGACAGACCTGCTCCAGGCCAATTGCTGTCCAGTAACACTGTGAACCCACAATCCTGAAGCACAGAGAGGGGGCTAGGATGGTAGGAAAAATTATACCACACACTATTAGTAGAGGATCCTCTCACCTTTGGTGACCTATTTTCAATTCTAGAGAATGTGGAAGCCACATGGTCAAACCTTTATCACCTGCAAATATATTCAGCTTCCATCCTTGTGTTGTTTTCTCTGGTGGCCAAAGAAGAAGTGTCCCTTACATGTTTGCAATACTAACTATCCTCTAAATCCTGCTCCTGCTCACCTCCACTTGGGTCTTGTGTTCAATATTTCAAATCTAAAATACCTAGAGTACCTTGCTTTCATAGTTACTTTGCTTTGGACAAGAAAACATGCTCAAGCTTTCCCATTCCATTTAAAGAAAGATTGGATTTTGACTCCTCTGTGAGTTTTTATCTTCTTTATGGACCCTAATTGCCAGATTTCTCAAAAAAAAATTACCACTTCTGGTTCAATAAATGTTTGTTGATAAAAAGAACTAACAAATGCATCCCATCCACTTATTATTTGTCTCATTTCTGCTCTCTCCTTTTAAAGAAAAATTCTCTGTAAGCCTGATACTCATGTTCTCATTATGCAGTCTGGAAGGCCTCTCCAATATGTTCATCCTGCTTAATCCAGAGACCTTCTCTATGTTCACCCTCTCCTCTCTTGTACCCATCAAGATAAGGTGCCTCTAAACAAACTAGTTTACATAAGTACTGTGGATCAGAGGCTTAGCAAAGATGTGCTAAAAATTTCAGCATTTATTTCACACATTAACTGAGGGATGTCAGCATGCTGGGAAATGCTCTAGGAGCTATGGGATGATTGATGAATAAAATCAGTTCGATTCCTGCCCTTTAAGAGTTTGCTTTGTAGTGTTGGGGTGGGGGTGAGGAAAGCAGACCATTAACTTATAAATACTTGAATAAGCAAAGTAATTTCAGATTGTTTTACGTGCTAAGAAAGAAATAAGCAGGTAATGGGATGGAAATTACCTTGAGACTAATTTGATTGTGTGGTTAGAGAACACGTGAAAAGGCGTTGTGTGACCTTGGTGCTAATCATGAGCTC